TGGCAGCCCACCGGAGACATCCAAGCTTGGAGGCCGAGCGCCTCCGGGGCACTGGAACCAGCGTGTGGTCAGGTATTGAGGAACCAACCCCCACCCCATCGCAGCTCCAGCCGGACAAGGACCGGCACCAGATTGATTTCTCATGTGCCTGCACATTTTTTGAAGAGTTGTTAAAAGAAGTAACAGTTCTGACCTCTGTGCGTTTTTCAGAACCGCCTTAAAGACTTTATCAGTACAATAATCAAAGTGCATTTCTAACTTAATATCTGAAAGAAGTTACTTTGCAAATGAACTTGTCAGGACCAAAGGAATTTTAGATCCCGGCAGGTTTCACCGTTTTACTTTGGCCTCGAGGAAACTGAACTAAATCCTTTGCCCAGCTGCAGGGATGGGTTTGTTTGATTGCATGCATCTGTAAGCCGCCTTCCATCATGCCCATGGGCTGCAGCCCGGTCTGCACAGCTCCCTGAGCACACTGACGCCTAAGAGGAAAAGACACCCTTGGCATTTCCTGTGACCTGCCCTGTTCTTATTCACTGGAACAACTATTCACAGCCCCAGACAGCCAAACTCCCTTCCTGGTTGTAAGGCAAAGCCACTTGTCACACGGCCCATGGTGAGAAACAGACCTGCCATCAGGGCCAAGCTGGGCAGCTTCTGTGCCAGGGGAGGGCCCATTGCTATGCCACTCTTGGTGCTGTGAGCCTGGGCCGTGTCGCCGGGTGCCAGGCTGCTCAGGGTGCCCAGTCAGGATGGATGTGGGTGAGAGCCAAGTGTGTTTGGTAAACATGGTGGAGGGGGGCTTCAGGAAGAGGCTCTGCACCCCGAGGCTCACTCGCAGCTGGCTGGGCACCCACGGAAGAGACTCCGCCCCACCTGCACCCGCAGACTGTGACGAAGCCCTTGGAGGTGCATTGGCAGCACGGTGCCATGCGGGGGACCGGAGAAGGCACCGTCCACACAGGGCCACCTGCGCGCGCTGCGAGAGAAGCAGCCTCAGCTGCAAGCAGAATGAAGATTCGGATTTGGTCCAGCACTGAAATGCTGGGAAACATAAAAATAAAAACCGAAACCTGCATGTTGATGGAGGCTAGAAGGCAGGCCCGGGCTGCGGGGTGTTTGTCTGCAGCAGGACCAGCGCCCGTCTTCCCCGCTTTCCTTACGGTGTAGGAAGGTGTATTTAAGAGGAGGGCAAAGAAGGCCTCACGAGTCAGCACGAGTGCGATGGAGAGCCGGGCGTTGCGGTTTTAACGGGCGACGCAGAGGCCTGTGTCGGACTCCAGGCTCGCGGGCAGGGCAGCGTTGGCCGAGGACTCGCGGTGCTGAGCGCTGGCCAGGCCGCCTGTGCAGTGCACAGCAGACTCCGCAGCTTCAGTGGGCTTTTCCTGGCCCCGTTAGACAAATACCTCGTAGTCTGAATTCAGTGTTTCTGACTTAAGAACTTTCCGGCTATTAGTCTTTGCTTCCTTTGGCCTCTCTAACCATTACTTTAAAGAGATTCCCGGTGCTGACAGTGCCCCTTTGGAGGCCCTGGGGGTCCCTCTCCTGCCTCGCCAAGCATCTGGTGGCCGTTGGCCTCGTCTCTTGCTTTGGCCTCCTCCTTCGCCTTCCGAGCCATCATCACAGCTCTTCCCTGACTCTGACCTCCTGGTAGGTCCCTTGTGCTGTGTCGGGCTCTCCCTGGTAACCGGGGTTCTCTCCCCAACTCAGGGCCGTTAGCTTAATCCATCTGTAAAATGTGTCACCACAGGCTGACCTTGGCAAGGTCACTGAGCCAGGTCTGTGTCACCAGCCCTCCGGGGCAGCCCTGGCTTGCTGCTGGGCTGGACCGTTTGGAGGTCCGGGGTCCGGTTTACAAGCCGAGCTCTGTCGCTTCTGTGTGGATGTGGCCCTGCCCGGCCCAGCCCAGCTGGGCAGCCTGCCGCTGTGTCCCTGGTCCTCCTGGTGGGAGGAGCAGTGTGTCTTGTTCCCGGGGACTCTGAGGGCGCTTGCTGAAGGTCCATGGCCAAGCCAGGATTGCAGAAGGTTCCGGAGTCCTCCCCAGGGTGCCTCCCAGCCCCACAGATTGCTCAAGGCCACCTGCGGAGAGGCGGCCTCGTGCTGGGGAAATAGGGGTTTGGGCAAAGCGCAGTGTGGGATGTGGGGTGTGGCCAGGCCGCAGCCGCAGCCACAGTCAGCTGCAGTTCCCCCGCGAGGGAGGCGCTGGGAAAGGCCGCAGGGGACGGGGCTCTCCTCGCTGGCCTCCTCCCTGCCGACGTGCCCCCCAAGACCCTGCACACCTTCCTGCAGGGCCCCCCCAGCGCCCTGAGGCCTGTCCAGGCCCCAGGCCTCTGTCTCCCCCTGCTGCAGCTGCCCTCACGCTGGGGGCCTGCGGGCAGCTCTGCCAGGCCAGGGCCCTGCCACTGCCCAGCTCTGCCCAGGCCCGGTCCTCTCCTCGCCTCCCCTGACCCCTTGGGACCTTGACCCTGCTGCACTCTGGTTGCCACCTGGAGAGCGTCAGGTGGCACTGGGGTCCAGGCTCTGCTGAGGGTTTTATTTAACTAGCCGTCCGTCCGGCTCCCTGCCCCTCAGCCACACAGACTCCCACACAGCCCCCCAGGTCCGTGCTGGGGTGGGGGGTGACTCACAGCGCCTCAGCAGTGTCTGTGGAATGAATGGTGACAGTCGTGTCCCACAGGACATGCTGCCCAGCCGACTCTAAGCCCTGCTGTCCTGGAGTCTTGCTGTCTCCCTCTGGCGACAGACTGACCCCTCCTCGTGCAAAACCCAGCATCTTGCTGTCAGGGACAGCAGAGCCCTCAGGTCTCCGGGATGGGGGACAGAGCGCTCGGGCTGGCAGTGAACTGGCCTCGTACCCAGGACTGCACCGCATGGCCGCTCTGACCGTGGGACGCTCTTTCTGTCCTCCCTGTTGGTACCGTGTGCCAGCTGCGTTGTCATGATAACGAGAGGAAACTGCCAGCCCTGTGTCCTCTCTAATGGTTTCCCGTGTGCACTCACAGTGGTGACCACAGGAAAACTGAATTCCTGCTCCGCCTTCCCACCCGGGCAGGGCGACAGATGTCCGGCAAACGCTGCTGCTGCGGACGTGGAGCTTCCTAACGGCCGGGGGCACCGCCACAGTTTGCTTTTGTGTGTCTGTATTTATCAGCATAATGGATAGTGTTGCAGCCTTTCTCTCCATGTAACTATTTTTTGAATATTTTTCTAAAGATAAATTCCAAGAGGATGAATTCCTGAATCAGAGAAGAGAAATACGTAAGAATTATAGAAAGTAGAGGCTTTCTGAGGGCTGATTTATCTTATTGTTGGCAACGTTCGTGCATCTGAGTTTCACCATCCCCTTAGCCGGTGCTGGGGTTGTAATGTTTGAATCTTTGGAACTCAGTAGCCTAAGACTGTTGATAATTGCCTTAGCAAATGTGCATGTGGTTATCGTACTGGTAAAGACGTGTGAAGCCTCTGATAGAGGTATTTTGTCTTTGAGCCTGTCCAAGTGGTTTATGTATCTTTTAGATGATTTGTTTTGTTTATTGGTTGTTTTCCCACGGGCACTGGGAATCGAACCCCGGACCTTGCACCTGCCAGGCAGGCGCTGTACCACTGGCCACACCCCCGCCCCGACCATAGGTGACTTTAGGTGGAGTTGAGTGCCTTTGTAATGTCCTGCATCAGGCTAACTCAGCTTCCCTGCTGCGTCCTGCAGACCACCGCGTGCTGGGTCATTGCCGGTACCACTTCCTGTTCTTTAAAGAAGGCGAGATGTGGTCTCTCAGAGGACCTTTGACTTCTGGCCCCATCTCACTGCCTCAGATGGGGACACCGCCCAAAGCGCAGCCTGTGGAGGACACGGCTGGTGGGGGACCCGACTCATGCCCCGGCCTGTGCCGAGCCACCCTCCCAGCACACGGAGCCCTGCTGTGGTCCTGGCCTAGAAAGTTCTTTTGATGTGAGGTTTGCACTGCCCTGCGGACCAAGCCAGCTCCACGGGGCTGCACCGAGTGTATGCTGAGGCCTCAGGGGCCTGGCAGCAGCTGTTCCCTGCACGTGGTGCTCGCACGCATCTCTGCTAGGGGGTGGGAGGCCGAGGGTCATGAGTGTCCTGGGGCTGCTGACTGCTCTCACAGCATACTGGGCTCCACGGTGCAGATCCCAGCCCTGTCCCCAGCAGGTGTCACCATGGGTACGAGGTGTCCAGGAGAATAAAGCTGGCTGTCCAGGGGCTTTGTCTTTTGCACAGCTGCTGCCCCTCCGTGCTGGTGGAAGGGACCCTGGGTGGGCAGGGATCTCCTAGACAAGGGCTGGGAGCTGAGATTCTAACGCAGCTCTGCCACTGTGCAACTGCGTCCCTGACCCCAACCGGTCCACACACCCACGGCCGAGTCTGTGCGTTCAGCAGACGTATGACAAGCTCTCTCAGGCAGTGTCTGCGCTGGGCAGCGACTGGGAGAACCGAGGGACACACAGAAGCCCCCGTCAGTGGCCAGCAGGGGTGGGCACCGCCGAGCAGCAGGGAGAGGAGGGCCCACATGAGCAGTTTCAGGTGGCATGGGAAAGGGGGTCCAGCTGGGAGCCCCAGGGCTGTGAGAGGCATCCCGAGAGGCCAGACTGGCTCTGGGCTGGAGGGCAGAGCGAGGTGACAGGATCAGGGCAGTGCGCTCACCACCACGGGCCACAGAGACCGACCTCAGGCCCACAGTGGAGCGTCCCTGCACCCAGCCCAGGGCCAGGCTTCCACGTGGCGTGGTCTGTGCCCGTGGTGGGCACGGATTCAGTGGCCTATTTAGCAGATCCTTGCTGTGTGGCTGCCGCACTGCCCACAGGAGTGGCGCAGGGGAGAGGTGCAGGGTGGAAGGTCCCCAGCACCCCCAGGGCAGAGGCGGCTGTGGGCACAGGGAGGCCCAGGCGCACTTCCGCCCATGCTGCGCATGCTGAGTGTCCCTCGGGGAGGGCAGGCTCCCCCGTGGTGATGATGTTTGCGTGTCTGTTTTTCCACCCAGATGCCTTAGGGCCACCAGCTGCCCCGAAGGACTCATCCTTGGTGGCCACCGAGTGTGCACGGCAGGCTACCCTGACGCGCCTCGGAAGCTGCCCCGCAGCTGCCCACCTGCACCATGGAGACCGGGGAGGTGCCCGTGGGCACGCTGGTTGACTTTGGGACTGAGCCGCCGTCCTCCCCTCCCCTGGAGGCGGTGCCTGCGACCCTCCGGGATGGGGACGGCTCCCTGGGAGACGGCGCGTCAGAGAGTGAGGCCACGGAGTCTGCAGACAGCGAGAACGACATGGGCGAGTCACCCTCGCACCCGTCCTGGGACCAGGACCGCCGCTCCTCCTCCAGCGAGTCCTTCTCCTCCAGCCAGAGCACAGAGTCGGCCCAGGACGAGGAGACCCTGCTGCTGCGAGAGTTCATGCGAGGCTACGTGGAGAAGATCTTCTCCGGAGGGTACGGCTGCCCCTGCCCGAGGGCTTCTGAGGGCCACCGCTGTGGCTTTCACCCAGCCGGGCTGCACAGGCAGTCTCTGAAGGACCTCCTGGCCAGGCACGGTGGCACACACCCGTAATCCCAGCGTGAGGGAGGCTGAAGCAGGAGGATTGCTATGTGTGAGGCCAGCCTGAACTATAATGAGACCACATCTAAAAAAAAAAAAAAAATCCAAAAAAGAAAGGTTCCCTGAGCCTGGCTGCACTGGACAACTGTCCCAGCACTCTGGGGGCGGCATGTTGCAGACATGCGTGCTGCCCAGGAGCTTCTGGGGGCAGCTGTGTTTGGAGCCCCTGGGGGAATGGTCACCCAGATGCCCCACTCACAGGCCAAGCTGGGTGCTCCAGCAGCCCTACGGGGAGCAGGACACAGCCTGTCCAGCCCTGTGTCCGCGTCTCGGCACAGTGCCCTCAGCCCCTCCCTGCCGCCTGTCCAGCTCTGTGATCCCCTGAGCCCGGACGTGGCTGCCCAGAAACGCATCTGTGCTCCTGAGAGTGCAGGAGAGGCGGCTTCGCACTGAACCTGCTGACCAGCACTGAAGCCTGCAGTTTTCCTGTGCAGCCCGGTTCATGAAATGGAGAAAGCCTAGAAGTCCACTGATTGCAGGAAGGCCAGTCCACACTCATGGCAGTCAGGGCAGACCAGTCAGGGCCCTTTAGAAATCCCTGCCGAAAGCTGGAAAATTTACCTTTCCCCTGGGGCTGGTCATTCCGGGTAAATGAGAGCAGGGTATTTCCTGCAAACCCTGCAGGAAGTGAGATTGCCTGAGCCTATTGATCCACAGAGATGCCTGCTAAAGGACCAGGGCTCAGGCCCACTCCTGGCTCATACCGAAGGAGTGGGGGGGCTGGAGAGGCTGCCGAGTCGGAGTAGAGCTCTGGCTCCCCGTTCTTAAGCTGCCCCCGTTCCAGAGCCGGGCTCTGTGCCTTAGGGTGCCAGTTCCTGTGGGATCTTGGCGAGGTGAAAGACGTCCAGGTGCCCGCGTCGGCCTGTCCTCCTCCTCCCTCCTCCCCCAGCTGCACCGGTTTGTTCTGGGACTAAAAGGCTCTGCTTCCCCTGTGCTGGTCTGCAGGGAGGACCTGGACCAGGAGGAGAAGGCCAAGTTTGGGGAGTATTGCAGCAGCGAGGATGGGAAGGGCCGGGAGTGGTTCGCCCGCTACGTGAGCGCCCAGGTGAGGCCAAGGGGAGGCCGGGGTTGGGGGAGGACCAGGCAAAGGTGGGGACCTCACCATCCCCTTAGTTCTGCTGGGGGAGCCCAGCACACAGCTGTGATCCTAGACTGGGAAACTGAGGCAGGAGACTGCAAGTTCAAGCCCGACATAGGCCACTTAGGGACCTGGTGAGAACCTGTCTTAAAATAAAAGCTTTCAAAGTGCTGCGTGTGTGGCTCAGCACAGAGGCCAGGCGCTCACCTCCCGGCAGGAAATGTGAGGCGATGGGCCTGGGGGGAGACGGTGCCTGCCGGGAAGTTCCAGGAAAGCTGTTTTTGGTACCGGGAATTGAAGTCAGGACCTTTGCTTGCCAGGCAGGCTGTGTTCGCTGAGCTGTATCCCCGGCCCCTGAAAACTTGTTTTTAAACCCAAGCACATGTGGACTGTGGTGGCTGAAGTCTGTAATCCCAGCACTCAGGAGGTTGAAACAGGAGGATTGCAGTGAGTTCAAGGCCAGCCTGAACTACATAGCAAGGCCCAAACAAACAAACAAACACACCCAAGTGTGAGCTGTGTCCACACTGTTTATCCAACAGCCGGTGTTGGTGAAAGGTAACATGTTCAGGACCAGGAGAACCCGATGGAGAACCCGATAGAGAAAAATGTACTAAAAAGGAGAAAAAAAGTGCACTTGCCAGCTCCATGTGGTGTGATTTGCTGTGAGATTAAAAAGTGCAGCGACGCCGCTGCGCACAGGCCACCGTCCCCGTCCCCGTCCCCGTCCCAGGCTTTCGTCCCTCCGTGCTCTCCGGGTTACGTGGGGGAGCACGTGTGGTTCTGTGACACAGGAGGCCCAGGACACAGCAGACAAAGGCGCCCTGCTGTGTGCACCCCGCTGCCTGGGGTGCCGCCCCCCAGCACCCCGCTGACGCCGCCTCTCTCCCCGCAGCGCTGTAACTCCAAGTGCGTGTCGGAGCCCACCTTCTACCGCCTGGTGCAGTCCTTCGCCGTGGTCCTGTTCGAGTAAGTGCCACCTCCAGCCCGCCCACCCGCAGCAGCCCGCTGAGTCACACTGCAGGCAGCAGCAGCAGCCAGGAGGGGCTGGCCAGATCCCCGGGGGCAGAGCTGGGGTGTCAGAGCTGGGGTGTCGGTGGGAGCTGCAGCTGGGCTGGGCGGGGGACGGCCTCCCACACAGGGCTGGCTACGCCCGGTGGCCACTCCTCTGTCCTTGAACAGAACAAGTGCCCAGTCCTCCGGCACTGAAAGGAAGGGTGCTTTCCTGCAGAGACCCACAGCCTTGCTGCAGCTGGGGAGGGGTGTCTGGCAGTGCCAACGGGCTGGAGGCACAGCCCGTGGCTTCAGGGAGGCTCCCGGGCCTGGCGCATCCCCTGCTACCCACCCGCCCACCTGGTCACTGGGCCCCTTCGCCCTCCGGCCCCACACTCTGTGCTCCTCTGATGGGGTGGGCAGGGAGGCTGCTTCTTTCCCTTCTACACTCCGGGAGCACGGCCGGGCTGGGGGAGACTGGTGCAGAGGAGGCGGCCATCTCCCGGGCTGGCCCGGGAGGTCCCTGGAGCAGGGCTGGCAGCCCCCGGCCGGCTCTGAGCTCCCCACGCGCAGACCCTCATAGCTCCAGACGCCGCTGCCAGCTGGGCTTGTTTTGCAGGAGTTGCCCTGGTCAGGCACAGGATTGTGCCTCCTGTGCCTTTTAGTCCACAGCAGCTTCAGGGGCACTGTGCCCTTTGCTCGCACTTTTAAAAATAGCTTTATTAATGGCTTAGTCCTTGACATGGGTTGGTTTGTTTTGCAGAGCTGGGGGTGATCAAGGGGCTTGGGCATGCGGGTGGCTGCTCAGCTGAGACACACTCCAGCTCCTGCCTAAAATGTTTTTCAAAAACCAAAGCAGCCCTTACACCTACTACCTAGACGATTTCTGTTGACCTTCTTTCAAAAGTAATAATCGCCCGGGTTAAAAACTGGGCAGAAAAGAACAGCGTGAAAGAGAACAGCAGGTCAGGCGGGCAGGGCACGCCAGAGTCCCAGCGTTCTCAGGGGCGGAGGCAGGAGGTTGAAGGTTCAAGCCCGGGCAGCTTAGAGACTTCCAGACAGCCTGTCTGAAAATTTAAAAAAAGAAGAAAAACAAAAAAAGCAGAAAAGGGCTGGGAATGTAGCTCAGAGAAAAGACCTGGTCACCTGGAGAGGGAGCGGGGGAGAGGCAAAGCCTGGAGTCCCAGGGTGCTCCTCCCACACCCGCTCCGGTCCCGCCCGGTGGGACCCCAGGAGTGATGCGTGGGCCAGCGCACAGACCCCCCCGGAAAGCCGAGCCTGCACACAGCCCCGAGCGTGCGGCTCAGGCCCCGCGTGCAGACGTCAAGTCGCTCTTCCCACTACTGCGTGGCCCTTGTTAGTGTCACAGGGCCGCTTCCTTATGGCAGAAAGGCACCTTTTTGAAGTCCCCCTTTTTGTCTGCTCACTGAAGGATGCATGCCTATCTCAGAATAGTAATCTCAGCAGAAGAGCCCATAGGAAGGTGACATAGGAAGGTGACTGGGTGCGTTTGCGGACTGCTGTTCAGTGCGTGTTTTTCTTACACGACAGTGACTCTGACGAGTGGCCTGAAGAACAGGTGTCTTCCCTGGCCGTGTCCTCAGAGTGGCGTCCCTGGGCCAGGCTGTTGGGCAGCTGTGTCCCAGGGGTCTGTAAGGACACAGACTGTCAGGCCACAGCCTCCCTGTCCTCCAAGGACCCAGATGCTGCTGCCGACCTGAGGACCCGCAGCCCGGGCCAGCGGCTGGGACTGAGCTTCCAGGCCGAGTCCTGGAGCCTGTGCTTAGCTCCCTGGACCTTGACTGTGACCTTCCCAGGGGAGGAGGCCAGGCTTAGGGGTGTGAACGTCTTCCAGTCCCCTGCAGGCAGTGATCCTAGTCGTTCCAGGGGACGATTTGGTCACTGCAGCCCGGCTCCCTGGAGAGCGAGGGACGGATGGGTTGGGAAGTGCGGGAGGGGCCTGCTGAGGAGACCCGGCTGGAGGACTCCAGCCCATCGCCCTGCTTATCCTTCAGGTGCCATCAGATGGACGACTTCGGGCCCGCCAAGAACCTCATGACCATGTGCTTCACCTACTACCACATCGGTGAGATGGGGCGCTTGGCGGGGCCCCTGGAGGCCAGGGCTGGCCAGGGCGGTGGGGCCACAGCGGGGCTTTCTTCCCGGTGGAAGGCAGAGCGGCAGGCAGGCATCCAGACAGACGCGGCCCTGGGGAGGGCTGGCTGGGGAGGAGCCACGGTCCACAGAGGGGAAGCCACGTTGTGGGGAAGCAGACTCGATTGCAGTGGAGACGAGCCCCGGGGAGAGGCCAGTGAGACTGGACACAGAGCCCGCTGGGCATGGAGCCGGGGTCCAGGGCGCTGCTGAGTGCTCGGAGGTTCCCGTGGCTGGGTTCCCCACGAGGGTGCATGGATTCCCTCGGTGAGGCTGCCCAGAGATCTTGTTCAAGCCTGAGCCCAGCTCTCGGCCACAACCTCCCTCCTCACGACGCAGCCCTTTCCCTCTGCATGCGGCCCTGTGCCCTCCTGCTCGGTCTCCCGCCCTCTCCCTGCCCCTCAGCTCTGTTGGCGGCAGCGGGCCTGCCTGCCAGAGGGCTGATGCCAGGCACAGGCTCTGCGAGCCGGGCCGGAAGGTGTCTTGGAGAATGGCCCAGGTCAGGCACGGTGCACACAGTGCACACGCCTGCAGGCCCACACATGGGGAGGCAGAGGCAGGAGGGTCAGGAGTTCAAGCCCAGCGTGGGCAATTTAGTGACCTAGTGAGAGTGAGCCGGACCTCTCAGCAGGACCAGCAAACGGGGCTGGGGTGAAGCTCAGTGCAGAGCCACGGGTTTAATCCCAGCACCGCAATCAAACAGAAAAACCGGCTCAGTGCTGCTCACCCGATCCGGGTCCCTGCACAGGGCCCTTCAGCCAGCAGAGCCCAGCACAGCCCCATCAGCTGCTGAGGCCCCGTGGGGGCTCCCTGCCGTTAGGGGTGCCTTGGGGTCCCGTGCTTAGTGGTCCATTCTCGCTTCCACCTGATCCACGCCTGCTGCAGGCACTGTCCAGATGCCTCCAGGCTCACCCTGGGCCGCCCGTCCTTGCCCTCCACCAGGCTCACCCTGGGCCGCCCGTCCGCTCCCACCTCAGGAGCAGTCCATTCCCCCCGGGCCGGGCCGCAGTCTGCAGGATCCATTCTCCCTCCTCCAAGTCCGCAGGGCTGCTCCTGCCTCTCCTCCACCCAGGTTCTGGCTGACTACACGGGCAGCGCTCAGAGATGCCCTAGAAAGGAGGCCTGTCCCTCCAGGTCCCCGAGATGTCAGGGCCATCGCTCCAACGCCCCTGCAGGGCACATGCGTGGGCTGCTCTCGCCCCCTGCTGTGCCCCGGGAGCTCCCTCACCCTCACCCTTCTCTCAGGCAAGCCGAACCCGCTGCCCATGGAGCCCAGGGAGAAGGCGGTGGGCAGCATCGACTCCTACCTGAAGTCCGCCAACAGCTGGCTGGCCGAGAAGAAGGACATCGCCGAGCGGCTGCTGAAGAACACGGAGAACGTGAAGGGCTTCTTCGGGGGACTGGAGACCAAGTTGAAGGGGCCCCTGGTCAGGCGGGACGAGTGAGTGTTGTGGGGGGCAGTCCGCCCTTGCAGCCACTGGCGTGACCCCCCCCCAGCTTCCCGAGGCTCCCCAACCTGCGGGGTTCCCCAACACGCAGACTGGGCCTGTCGGGCACTGGCAGGTGGCAGGTGGCAGGAACTCAGTGCCAGTGGGGCACAGGAAAGGCTGGAAAGCCACCGTCCCGGGAGAGGGAGCTTCAGTCAGGCCAGGCACAGAGGCGCACAAGCCGAGGTGCCTGTAAGATGGGGTGCATGGACACAGGAGGGAGCCCTTAGCGCCTCACCAACTGAGGTGCCTGTAAAGATGGGGTGCATGGACACAGGAGGGAGCCCTCAGCGCCTCACCAAGCCGAGGTGCCTGTAAAGATGGGGTGCATGGACACAGGAGGGAGCCCGCAGCGCCTCACCAAGCCGAGGTTCCTGTAAGATGGGGTGCATGGACACAGGAGGGAGCCCGCAGCGCCTCTGCCGGCTTGGTTACAGCCAGGGCGCGGCATCGCTCCTCCTGCTCCAAGTGGTCAGGACCGGAGGGCCCCACCCAGGTCAGGCGGCTGCGTGGTCCTGATTTCGCGGGCATCTCTTGAGAAACCATGCCAACCACACAGCCCAGCTCAGGGGTGTGAGGTCTCTTTGGAGAAAAAGCCTGTCATTTTGTGGTTTCTCTTCCTCCAGGGACGATGAAAACAAACCCAGGGACAGGCAGCCCAAGACGGGTGAGGACTTGGACCTGCGAGGCGTGGGGAGGCGGGGCATGTGGGCGGGGCTAGTGGAGGGGCGTGCCTGGGCGGGGCTAGATCAGGGGCGGGGCTAGAGGAGGGGCTTGTGGGTGGGGCTGGGGCGGGGCTAGTGCACATGCGGGGGCCTGGTGGGGCCAGGGGCGGGGCCTGTTCCCCTAAGTTAAAATTACCCAGCAGGGGCGTCAAGCACGTTGGTTACAGGCCAGGGCTTGGCGTCCTCTGTGACACAAGGCTGATGGCCTAGAGCAGGGATGGCCAATCTAGAGCTCTCAGTGACACAGGCAGCCTGCTGGGCTGGCTGCCTGGGCTCATCCCGAGATTATCTGTCCTCTCTTCCTGAATTTCTGGGGAAGAGCCCCTTCTCTGGGGCAGGGGGACCGAAGGTCTCTATCCCGGGAGGTGGAGAGAGTGCCATAGTGCAGGGACGGGCGCTGCCCGGTCTGCTTTCCCGCCACCGGCTGTGTCTCGGTGATGGCAGGGGGCAGTGGCGGCTGCACGTGGAGCACTGTGTGGTCCGGGGAGCTGTGCCCTCACCTGCCCGCCTTCTCCCTCTCTGCAGTGACGGTGCCCAGCCCCGAGGAGGAGCCGAGGGGGGAGAAGGTCTACCTGTACATGCACCTGAAGCAGCAGCCCATCTGGTAAGGCCCCGCCTCACCCGGGCAGCAGCCACGCCAGCCACCCACGTCCCTGTGGGAAAAGGCAGTCACCCCCACATCCAGGGTGGCCAGAGCAGAAGAGACAGTGGTCACAGTGTGGACAAGATGTGGAGAAAGGCATGGTCTCCTCCGTTGAGGGGAAAGGACAGTGGCCAGGCTGGTCCTCAGAGGTCAGACAAGGGACCAGGAGACCCAGCTGTCCTGCTAGGCATGCATCCAAGAGAGACGGGGCCACATGGCCATGTGGAACCTGTGTCCAGATGTCCACGGCAGTGCTGTTCCCGAGCCCCACGGTGGGCACAGCCCAGACATCTGCCCACTGGTGCAAGGCTTCCAGAGCGGAGTTCTGTCCGAGTCACATGAAAGAGGCCTAGTCGTTCTAAACTGCCAAATCTCCCTCGCTGTGATCCTGCCCAGCCTCCCAGCATGTCGGGTTAAGGGTGTCATGTCTGGCAGAGTCTCGTATTTACTCACTTTGTGTGCTGGGAACGGAACCCAGGCCTCGCTCAGACAGGCAGGTGCTGTGCCACCCAGCACCCCGGCCCGCGCTGTGGACGGGCACAGAAGGAAGGCTGCAGCCAAAGCCCAGACCGGCTGCTGTGGCTTGGTGCTGCTGTGCGTGTGTGCCGGGGTCCGCACGCGGGCGGCAGTGTGAGCCGGTGAAGGGCAAGGCTTTCACACTGGCAGGCACCAGCATCGTGGGGAGCGTGTGAGTGAGCTCCCGCACCAGTGTGTGGTCAGCACGCGGCTGCCCAAGTGCCCCACCCCGGCTAGGATGTGACATGGCGGGGACCCCGCCCAGACTTCCCAGCCGCAGGAGGAGGAGCCGCAGCTTCCTCTCTCCTGCTGGTGTCCGCTGTCCTGTGTCATCCAGAACCAAAAGGACCCCACGGCCCCAGTGGTGAGGGAGCTGGCACTTGGCGTCTGGCTCCGGGGGCTTAGTGGTGGCCTTGGAGCCCAGGGCCTCTGTCCCTCTGGGTGGTTTATCTGCCCACAAGTTAAGCACTGGCATCTCGGATCGCAGGTGTCAGCCGCAGCCGCCCTTGAAGTCACAGGCAGGCTGCTGCGCATTTGCCGTGGCCAGCTACGGCCCTGTGCGGAGCGTGGCCAGCTCGGCCTGCAGGCTCAGGCCAGGGCTGGTCCAGCTGGCCAGGCTCCCACGGGGAGCAGCACCTGCGCTTGGCCTGTCATTGTCTTGTCACCTGCATTAGGGCGGGCGCACTCCCTGTGCGGGGCTGGATGATGGTATTCTAGGCTCCGTGGCCCCTGCCGAGACCACAGAGCCGTAGAGAACAGTCCTGAGCTGGGAAGCTGCCCCACAGAGCTCCCAAGCAGCAGTTGCCTGGTGTTCCTCTCCAGTGTCCCCCGGACCCAGTGTCCCCTGGGCGCATGCATGTCCCTGCCAGGACCCCACAGCCTTAGGAGGCTCCTGGCCTTCCAGCCTCCGAGTTCCCTGCACCCGGTGCCGGCTCTGCCTCGCTCTCCCTGGCCCACAGCTGTCGGCGGCCTGGGGGGCCTCACATGGTGCCTCTCGTCCTCAGGCACTCGCTGAGGTTCTGGAATGCCGCCTTCTTTGATGCTGTCCACTGCGAGAGGAGGAAGCGATCCCCCACCACCAGGTAGGCGCCCAGGGCGGGCCAGGCTAGGGCACGGCGCAGGTCTGCCCTCATGATTTCTGTGCGGCAGATGGCTGAGCAGCCCTGGCCCCGCTGGCTGCCTGGGCTCTGGGGTCACGCTGGAGGGTGAGGGGTGCTCAGCTTGCATGAGTGCTTTCGGCCCTGGCTCTGGCATGACTTGGCCTGACTCCTACGACTGCAGACCACCGCAGGACAAGGCTGCCAGGGCCCCAGACCCTGCTGTCCACCGTGCACAGCCGATGTCGGGTGTGGGGGCCCCCGGGCTGTTGCTGCTGTCTGCCCACCCCAGGCTGCAGCCCCGGCAAGCTTTCTGGCTGCGTGGGCAGGAAACCACTTCTGAAAGCCCAGGCGGCTGAGGGCCCACATGCCCTCTGGTCAGATTCGGAGGCCAGGCCGGCCCCGGGTGCCCTTCATGCCAGGCACTGTGTGACTCTGAGGTCTCTGAGGTGCTCAGAGCCTCGTTCCCAGGGATAGATCCGTCTGCCGCCCCCGAGAGGAGGCCTGAGCTGTCCTGACTTGGGAGGGGGCCGCGGAGCAGAGGGCCGACTGGGCACTGGGCCCTACTGCCAGGGGGCGTCCTAGGTGCACCCCTGTGGCCCCCTGGGGAGGCAGAGACCCCGACGGGAGGCTCCGTGAGGGAAGCGCTGAGCGCCCTGGGTGGGCGAGCGCTCGGCCCCGAGGCCAGGACCTGGGTGACCTGTGTCTCTGTCCTCTCCGTCCGCCTGTGACCACCCTCTCTGCTGTCGCTCTCGCATGACTCTGACATGTTCCTCTGTTTACCTGTTTCTGCTGCCGCTCCAGAGGGGATGCTGGAGAGCAGGACAAGAGGTGTGTGTGTCCCTGCGCCTCCCTTCCGGCGCCGGCGGGGGAGGGCGTCCCGGAGCGCCGAGGCAGGGTCACCTGGGCCACCCGAGGAAGGCAGGCTCAGGCTCCAGGGGGAGGAGGAGGGCCAGAGGCCAGGCAGAGCCAGTCAGGATCTCCTCCACCGACCAGGCCTCCCCAAGCCGAGCCGGGGCCCAGGCGCCTCCCAGAGGGGAAGCAGGGACGTGGGGTGCTGGGGCCAGCAGCTTTGGGGTCTCTGGCGGGACAGTGGCAGTGCCCTGAGGGGTGGCCAGGGTGGGATCTGATACTCCCAGGCTCCACGGGCAGTGACCTGTCCAAGAGGCGGGTGCGATGGGGCTGCCCTCCTGTGCCCCAATGTGCTGGTGGAGGGGTCCCCGAAGAGCGGCCTGGCTCTGGCTGGAAGGACCCTGGGGGGAACAGACCCCTAGCAAGAGAGGCCCCCGGAGCCTCTTGGCACAGGGTGGGGGCACTGTGGACTCCGAGACTCGGGTGTGTGACCATCCAGATCCCAGCAGAGGGGCTGCCAGCCTCCCTGGCCCCCTGCACGCCCAGCATTGTGTAGGCCCTGGTGTCAGGAGGTCCCTTGCCCTTCGTCTTAGGCCTGGAGGCAGGTCAGTCCCTCCCTATGGTGCAGCCCCGCTCACGTGTTAGCCCACATGGCAGTGAAACTTGCGTTTGGAGGCCAGCACTCAGGGCTGGCCTTGGCAGTACCCTCAGGAAGCGGCTGGCCGGTGGGAAGAGGCTGGTCCGGTTCCCAACCCGGTGTCTGGCAGACAGCCACTCCCCAGGGCTGTAGGTTGTGCAGTGCCCCGCACACACAGCCGTCCGTGGCGGGCTGGTGGGGTGTGGGCGTCGCGTGTCTGGCCAGTCCTCGGCCCCTGTGGAGGGGAAAGGGAGGCCGTGTCTTCCAGGGACTGTGGTGTCCCGCCATCCGCATGAGGGGTCGGGGGTGGCCTCTGCCAGGTCCTGTGGTCATCGCAAGCTGCGCAGCCAGGGCCCTCAGGCCACAGGGCGGACAGGACGGTCCGTGTCCTTTTCCTCTTTCTCTGTGGCCTCTCTGTGGCCCGCCACGCTGTCCTTGCTCTCTCCTTGCTCTCTCTGAGCCCTGCTCAGCCAGCCTCGTCTGCCGGGGAGCGGGCCTCAGCGAACGCCCCTCCAGCCTGCGACCCCCTCCTTGACACTGGGCTCCGTTAGTGCAGGGCAGTGTGGGACGGAGTGCGGCCCCTGGTGGCTCCTGAGTCTCTGCAGCCCTGCGCACCGGGAGGCCTCTCGCCGTCGTAGCCCTGGTCTCCGCACCTGACCTGCCAACCGGTGGCACTTCCTGTGCCCACGGGGCAGGTGACACTCATGACGTCACCTTCTATGCCTGTGCAGAGACAGGGAGGGGGGACTATCCCTGTCCCCGGGGTCAGCTAGTGCCAGGGCTGGGGGGGGCCGGGGGTCTCCTCCGTGTGCTGGAGGGGGAGGGGCACGCCGATGGAGCAGAGACACCCCAACAAGGCACGTCTGAGGACGGGACGATGGCCCTCAGATGTCCCCAGACTCCTGCAGACACTGCCCAGTGTGCTGGCTCAGGACGGCACTACCTGGCTCCTAGAACCCGGAGGCTCCTCCCTGTGTGGGTTTCTGTCCCCACGAGGCGCCTGGAGCACAGCAAGGACACAGGCACCCCGGCACAGTCCCGCACCCGCACCCACGGGCAGAGACAGCCATGCGGCCTGCGGGGCTCTTCCTGGCAGGAAGAGGAGACAAGGGAGTCCGCCCTGGGCCCTGCAGACTTCACGGGCCGCCTGCCTCGGGGTCACGGCGACAATGGAGCGGAGCTGGAGGGTGGCGATGTCTGCACCCGCCTCACCCGCCTCACCCCTGCCCTCCTGTGCCGCAGGGAGAAGTGGAGCCACATGACGCAGGAGGAGCGCGCCGACAGCCTGCGGTTCAACGAGAACATCACCTTCGGGCAGCTGGGGTAAGGGCTGGCGGGGCCCTTCTCACAGCTTGGCCCACCCCGCCCCGCGGCCGAGCCGCAGAGGCCCCCTGGCGCAGGGCCGTGACGGCTCCCTGTCCCCACAGCACCTTCACCCACAACATGCTGGCCTTCGGGCTGGGCAGGAAGCTATGCGGGGACTTCCTGAAGAAGCAGGCGGTGATTGGGAACCTGGACCAGGGTGAGTGCGGGCCGAGGGCCGGGCCGGGGCTCACACCCGCTGGGGACCCTCGATTCTCGGTCCCGAGTCCGTGGCAGTGGGCTGCCCATCTGCGGGCTGTCCCCAGCAGGTGGGGAGGTGGGCTGGGCCCGAGTGCAAAGCGCACACATGCCTGGAGCTCCAGTTCTGGTGCTTGCAGGGCCGAGACCCAGGCACCATTTGGTCCCTTCTCAGTGGTCACTGGACGAACCACCCCACAGTGCTGGGCACAGAGAGAGTGGGAGGCCGGGGTTCACCAGAGCCCCGTTCCGGGTGGCCTTGCCGTCACCCTCCAGCTGCCTTCCTCCTGCTCCCCAAGACCTTGCACATAGATGCGTATTGGATGGGCCAAGATGCTTAGAATAGGCGCCCCCATCCCACACCACAGTCGGGGCCCTGTAGGCTGTGCCCCACACACCCGAGTTGCTGCCAGCCCCCCTCACCAGCTAGGACAGGGACCACTCCATGCTTTCCCAGGCTCCCGGGGTGGGCAGGTCCTTGTGCCCTGGAAGGTGGCAAGACCAGACGGCCACAAGGGCTGTGGGACTCGGGCCTGGCTCAGGTCTCCGGAGACGAGAGCGGGGTGCAGTGTCCTGGTCGCTCTTTCTCTCCCGAGAACCACACTGCTGCCTCTTTCAGAGCAATACAAGCTGCTCAGCGACCACATCGAGCAGATGGCCTCGGAGTAGCAGACTGAGTGGACGGCGTTCTCCCGGGCCAGCAGTGGCCGTCGCCCCGCCCATGACCCTGCATGTCACCGGCAGCACCAGAGTCGCCCTTGCTGCCCAGAACTAGCTATCAGAAGACCCGGCTGCCTGTCCTTCTGTCCCCTGCCCATGTCTGCACCCGTCCTCGTGCCAAAGTGTCCCCAGGGACCGCTGCCCCGAAATGCCAGGCTCAGGAGAGGAGCCCCTGTGCAGGAGGAAGGGGCCTCAGCCAGGGTGGGCCCCTGCCGGTGTCTGCACACCACCCTGAGGGCAGAGCAGAGGCGAGGGCACGGAATGGGACCAGTGGGACGAGCCCTGGAGGTAGGGTCTCCGGGGCCGTCCTGGCTGCTTGCTCTTCTGTCCCCCTGTGTGACAGGAGCTAGGAGTCCCAGGAACCCACCGGGCAGACACCTCCTGTTTCAGGGAGAGAAGGGTGGAGCGGCTGCCATGTGAGACCGGCCCGCTGGCAGGGGTGGGGGTGCCCCGCGAGTCACGAGGACCAGGGCTGAGATGTCTGTGGGGTCGGGGGTGCAGAGAAGGTCCTTGCTTGGCACAGCCCCAACACCAGTGCCCCCCTAGGCGCCTGCACCCCGCAGCCCAGGCTTTGTGTCCTGTCCCGTGCGCCCCGCAGGTGTGTCCCTTACCCTAACTGCAGGGCTGGGACCCTCCACCTCTCCAGGGCGCTTGTACCAAGCCCGCCCTCGTGGACTCAGACAGGCATTGCACGGGACCCGGCTTCTCCCCGCTGCCCCTGTGGCTCCATATGTGACACACAGCCGACCGTCGCCCGCATGGTCCCAGAGGCCTGGGGCATGTGTATCCCAGATGCTGGCCACGGGTGGCAGCCCCAGTGTGGGTGGGCAGCTGATGGCCTGGTGTGTGTGCCACTTCAGCCCATCTTCAGTGGCGCCCAGCAGGATGTGTGGCCAGCTGCAGTATGGGCACCGTGTCTCCAGAGCGGTGGCCGTAGTCTCTGCTGAGTCTGGTTTAGGGAAGTCCGGTCACATGAAGGCTGCAGGCCCAGCGTCCCCTGCTGGACACCTGCTCCCCACTCACCCGAAGGAGCCGGCCCAGCTCCTCCTGGAGGTCTCCAGGCTCCGGCCTCCAGGGTGCAAGTGAGGTGGCCCTGGCTCTGCCGTCTTGGTGGGTGTCCCCCTGCCCTGTGGTGTGCACAGCACAGCCCCAGCCGTGTGCACAGGAGTGGGGTTCTGGCATCCTGGGTGACCCGTGCAGTGACCGGTGGCAGACAGAGCAGCTGTGGAGCTCAGAAGGATGCAGGGCCAGGGGAGGGTTGGCGTGGAGCAGCTGCGCGTGTGCAGGGAGGCGCTGAGGCTCGCGCCCTCGAGGGTGCAGGACAGGCTGGGCCAGTGCCCACTTCCCCACTCCGTGGGGCTGCAGCTGTGAGGCCCGTGCTCCCTGGGCCAGAAGTGCAAGGGGCTCCTGCCCCGTGGTCAGATGGCCCTGCTGGCACGGCTCCGAGAACGTCGGGTTTGCTGAGCACGGCTTGAAGGACTTCAGAAGCCAGAGTGCCCCGTGGGCGGGAGAAGGGACGTGGGGGAGAGGTCGGGCGCCCTGAGTGGCCGGCGGGGTCTGCGCGGGGGCACCTCCAGGCCTCTCCCCACGGAGTCTGCCCACCAAGCCATCTGCCCTGCTCCTGCTGACCGCTCGCCCTGCTCGCCTCGAGGAAACAGGAACTGCACTGGATGCCACTGGCAGATGCATGCTCGGGCATGGGCACACCCTGGACCCTGTGCTGTGCCGCGCGGCCTCGACACGGCAACTGGAGCAGGGAGGGGACAGAGGGGTCACCCCACACTGCCCGCCACCCGCGCCCCATCCCTGTGTCTGTGAGCCTTGGGCCACCCGCTCCGGAGAGATGCGGAGTCTCAGGTCCTTCGTGTGGTCGGGGCCACATCCAGGGGCTGCGTTGGGGGGCAGCAAGGGCTGCTTGGCTCTGGGCAGTGGGCTGAGGACCCGGGCCTGGCTGGCCCCACGGGGCCGGGTGTTGGTGTGTGGTGCCCAGGGGTCCTGGTCACATTGGACAGCGTCAGTCCTGCTGGGCACCGGCCCCCACCTAGTAAATCCCCCCCCCCACCGCTGCTTTCAGGATTCTGCACTTTAACCTGAGGGGTTCCTGTCCCGACCCCTCCTGTCAACCTAAGATGGGCGCAGGCCCTCCTGCTCTGGGCCAGAAGGACAGGCTCTCGGGAAGGACGGGAGCACTGTGAACAGAAACTGGCCCTGGGCAGGTGGCTCTCTCGGGCAGTGTGTTCAGGTCCAGCTGCCGAGAGGGGCCTGGACAGCAATGGGACTGTCACCTGCAGTGGCCCGGTGGACCAGAAGAGGACAGTCAGGCACCGGCCACCCGGAGAGCTGGCCCCTGGGGTGACATCCTGGCCTCTGTCCTCTGTGCAGTGGCCATGTGGTCTTGAGCTGCCCCTGTGCCGTCTTTCTGTCCCCTGTGGTTGCCCTGTGGTCCTGGTGTCGCAGTGTCACCGTTACACAGTCCTGTGTCCCCGAGGTGATGTCTGGAATGGAACTCGAAGGCAGGGAAAGTCCCCAGGGCGGGGCTGACAAAGCAGTCCTAAGGTCAGGGCTGCTCCTAGGGAGAGAAGTGTGGGTGTTGCACCCTGGGGGTCAGAGGCTGGAGCCGAAATAAACGATCTTTCCGAAGAAAAGTCTGCTCTTTATCCTGGTGTCTCAGCCCGCAACGGCTTCTCAGGAGGAAGCAGGGCGGCCTGTCCGTAGGGCGGGAGGGAGAGGACCCCGCCACTCCCCCGGGCGCCTGGGCCTCCAGCGGACCTCAGACCCCTAAGCTATGGGGACACCCCATCCGCTGTCCCTCTGGAAGCCGGGAGTCGTTTGGCGCCCAGCCGCAGCTGCCACCTCTCAAGCAGGAGGCCTCTGTCCAGCTTGGCTCAGCGGGTCTTTGCGGCCTCTTCCAAGTGAACCAAGCCGGAAGCCGCTTCCGGGTCCCAGCAGGGAAGGCCAGGCAGGGCTGCGGGCCCAGCTGCGACGGTGTCCAGGGACAGTGTCCCAAGGGCCAGTGTAGAGGCAGCCGTCCCGTGTTCCTGGTGCTTCCCCGGCCCACTCTTCCTGGCCCATGGGACAGCAGCCCTGGGTGTGGCCTCTGGGCTTCCCTCGGTGCTGGAAGTGGGGATCCTGCCCACCCCAGAGGGCAGATTCTGGGCTCAGAGCAAATTCTGGGGCTGGGGCACCTCAACAGGGACACAGGGACCTGACGAGCTAAGACCCCAAAAGGCCCAGGGCGTCCCGTCTCCAGCCAGCCCCCCACGTGTCTCCAGCTGCTCAGCCCAGGAGCCTCCACCCCTGCATCTGCTGCGGGGAGGGCGCCCCGGGAGCCCGGGCAGCGGGCAGCCAGCCGGGGTCCTGCCCCGGTGCACAGCAAACCGGAAACCTGGCGCTTTCCTCAGTGTGTTCCGGGAGCAGTTAAGACGAAGCCCTCCAAGCTCACAGAACTAACGGGATGAGGCCGCGGAGCTAACCCAGCCTCCGGGGGTGTTTCTCGGTCATCTGTGACCTTTCCACTGCCTGCGTCCCTGGGTGGCAGCCGAGCCACCTTCCGGCAGGGCCCAGCTCCTCCGCTCCCCCGGCCCCTAGTGCACCTGGCCCTACAAACGGCACCCCTTTCCAGCTGGGGACAGCAGTCCTGTTCAGGGCTCCATGGTGGGCACAAGGGCTGCGTGTCCTCCTGCCTGTCCTCGGTGATGGTGATTGGGACAGAGAGCGGAGGACTCGAGGGAGCAGGGGTCCCCTGACAGGTGCCCCAAGAGAGTGCAGGTGTCATCAGTCCTCCGGTGCTCCCACGAGGAAGGAAGTCCTGGTGCCAGCTGGGGAACCAAACCCAGGGCCCTCCGGCTTGAGGGGCCCAGAGAGCCCACAGGCGGGCCGTGGGGCGGGGTGCCGGGGACAGGGCGCTCCGAGCACGGTGACCCGATCTGAAGCATGGGCCCCACAGTGTCCTGCAGCCAGGGCTGGACTCGGGCTGGAGGTCCCGCTGTCCCAGGGCCCCAGGTCATGGGGAATCTTGGCCCTGCCTGCTGTGAGCTGCTGGTGCCTGCCACGGGATGTGGCCCCTGCATGGCGTTGGGGACAAGCAGGTGCATCTGGGGTTCAGCTCAGTCACACTTTGCAGCCCACTGGCCCCAAGGGTGTGTGGCGCTCAGGACAGGTGGCCCCGCAGGAGTGGGTATGTTAGTCCCAGGACACGACACATTCCCAGGCTCCAGCACAGGGGTCCCGGCACCGAGGGGACTTCCTGTTCTGTCCTGTCCTGGCCTCTGTGATCTGCCCAGGTCCCAGACCACCTCATGTGTCCTGTGTGTGTCGTGGGCTGGGCTGTGTCCCCCGAATTCCTGTGCTAAAGCCCTGAGCCCCACAGTGCAGGGTCCAAACATGGGGTCTGTGCCGATGTGGTCAGTGAGGACGAGGCCACCCTGGCACAGCACGCGGTGCCCCCAGTGGAGGGGACATGTGGCTGGAGATAGCACAGGAGGAGGAGGCAGACCCGGGCCGGCACCCCAGCTCCTGGAGGACCGGATCCCTGGCCCCAGGACCCAGACCCCTGTCCTCCAGAGCAGGAGGCCCCAAATGTCCCCATACCAGGCACGGCCCGTGACGCTGGGTCCTGGCAGCCCTGGGAAGCCAACCCACTGTGCTGTGGCCAGGACATTGGGGCTGGGGTCCAGTGACCAGGGGGGAGGGGCAGAGCAGGACTTCAGGATCACTCTGTGTTTATTACACTGCTCTCACAGCACAGATGGGGAAACTGAGGCCTGAGAGGCAAGACAGAGCCCTGAGAGCAGGGCCGCCCAGCACCTCCACCTGCGGCCCAGGGTCACCCGCTAGTGCTGGCGCCCCTGCTCCTGTCCCCGGAGGTCCTCCAGGGCCGCCTCATCCGCCGAGTCATCGCCACTGGCCTCCTCTTGTGTAGCCTGGCTCCCCGGGATGCTCCAGGTACTCTGGATGATGACAATGACAGTAACAATAATAACTCCTCAGCCTCCGCGCCCCATCGTCCTCCACAGTGGGGGGGCCTCCTCCGACGCTGCACACATGGCCTGTCCCCCCACCCTGTTGCCCCGGCCGAGCGTGGCCCCATGAGGCCCAGAGAGGCCGAGACTTTCCTGGAGCACCAGGCTGGGGAGCAGGTCTGGACCAAGCCTGCCCTGCCGGGGGGCTCTGTTCCCCCCAAAGCCTCCAAGGTGGGGTCCCAGGCACCGCCCCCGGGCCCGATTCCCCTGGCTGCACGCTCTGAGCAGCCCAGGAGCTGCCTGTGCCCGACGCTGGGCCTCACCTGGCCCCAACCGCTCTGCCCACGTCTGAGGACACCCGGCCTTGGAGGCCCCACGGGTGAACAGGGCGTGGGCCTGGCCAGGGCAGAGACTCTCAGCCCACCTGTGTTGGGGCTCAGCCCCACCAGCCCCCACACTCACCTGGCCAGAGGGCGGCCCCAGGATGGCGTCTGTGAGTGGCCGAGCCTTGACGTGCCCAGCAGCTCCCCATATCTTGGCTTGAAAGTCCTGCCCGGGAGCGACTGGGGTGAGCTGGACTCAGGGACACGCGGGGTGGAGGGTGGGAAGGGCAGGGACAGAGGCCTCAGAGTGACATCTGGCGCCCCTGCTGGTCACACCATGGACTCCATGGCACCCCAGAGTGGGATCGACAGGAGCACCCCTCCGGTCAGGAGGTTGCCCACCTCCTCCAGGGCCGGCAGCCTACAGGGATATTGTAGGGGGCTGGGGTGCAGCTCGCTGGCCGAGCCCTTGCCTGGCACGTGTGAGATAAATACCACTGGGTGAGCCCAGGGCATCATCTAACCTGTGCGATGGCCCTAAAGCCGGGGTGAATCGCGATCCATGGAGGGGCCCTGAGCCCCAGAGCCACCACCCAGGGTGACACCAGAGTGCCTGTCCCAGCACCAGCTGGGGGCAGCGTGTTCCCGCTGCCTTGCATCCTGATCTAACCCCAGATGCTGGCCACGCCAGAGCACGCTGGGCATCGGGCAGGAAGTGCCTCCCACCTCGCTGTCACCCTGAGCTCCCAAGGTCGGGCAGAGAGGACAAGGGCGGCCAGGGACGGACCCGCCACCACCAGAACAGGCCTTGGCAGTGCACGGAAGCCAGGGGCCGCGAACCCCACCACCACCGGGTTGCGCAGGGCGGCCCACCTGCAGGTCCTGCTCCGGGTCGTAGCTGCCCAGGGTCCGGCAGGCACTGGAGTACACTTCCACCGCCTTGGCGTGGAACAGCATCTCAATGGTCACGAAGTCCAGGAAGACCCTCTGGGGTGGGGGAGACAAGTCACCCAGAGGAGGCTGCCCCTCGGGTCAGGTCCTGGCTGGGGACTTTTTCTTTTCCTTTTGAGGCACGGGGGTGGGCGGAGGCTCCATCCCCAAGCCCCTGTTTTGATTTTTTATTTTGAGACAGGACCTCACTATATCACTAACTGCCTAGGCTAGATTCGAGTTTGAGATCCTCCTGCCTCAGCCTCACAGAGTGCTGGGATGGCAGCCATGGGTCACCACACCCAGTGCTGGGTGAGGAATTTTAATGTTAATTTTGGTTGATTTGTTCTTGAACTCTGTGATATACACATGCTGTGCAAAGGCCCAGGGGCAGCAAATGTGGGACCCTGGAGCTGCAGCGTGGAGGTCCTGGGGAGGAATCAGTCCTCGATCTCAGGACAAGGCAGGCATGCCGGGTGCCAGGCTCACCAGCTCTCCTGGGGCCGCGATTTGGAAAGTGGACGGGAGCAGCAGTGTGGACAGCAGGGGTCTCCCAAGTCGGTTGGTTTGTCCTTTGAGACCCTGGTGCCAGGCCCTTCTCACAAGAGCCGCGGCTCTAGGTGAGGGAGGAGGGCGCCCACAGCGTCCTGGGCCCCAGAGAGAGGCGAGGGCTCCTTCCATCAGTGGGGTGGTGGGGGAGGACAGTGGCCCTGAGCCTGCACTGGCCGCTGGGCAGCCAGGGGGCAGTGTGCCAGGCCTGGGCTTCACACCTGCACACGTGTCCTCGCGCTGATCTGCAGGAGCTCACACACGTGCACACACCTCGATGCACACCCACACACACCCTGGGCACCTGTGGTCCTACCTGCAGGTCCTTTAGCTTCTGCCGCTGGAAGGCGTTCACCGTGTCCTCCAGCTGCCGCGTGGTGCGGCTGGCGTCCACCGAGGCCCTCTGCACACTGTTCTCCGCCTGGCCAGGGACACAGAGTGTAGAAGGATCACAGGGGCCCAGCCCAACGACACTACTGTGCCCAGGCCTCGAGCGGCCTCCCCTGGCCAGCTCTCGGGCCCTGGGGTGCCCTGTGCCAATGTGGAGATTGGGGGCATGGCCGAGGAGGACGGTGGCCAGAGGGCCACTCACGGGTGAGCTGTGCGACCTCAGGTGAGTCACACGGCCTTGTGGGGCCTTGTCTCCTCGTCTGGAAGCAGGAGGTGGCACGGAGACACCCCTGGGGGGCAGCCCCCCAGCCTCTGCAGGGTCCTGGGGACACAGCCCTGCTTGTGGGCCACCTGGGCCTCTGGCTCATCTGTCCCTTTGATCAGTGGCCACAAAGCCTGCTCTGTGCCGAGCTGTCTGTGGAATGGGGCTCTGGGCTGTGGTGTACGAACCCGTGTGAACCTGAGCCTCAGTTTCCCCTTCTCTAGAATAGGACCAGCCCAATCAGGACCCAGGCACGTTGGCCGGTGCCCCAGAAGGTGCTGGCAACCTCTGACCTCCACCTGCAGATGCCACGCGGCCGGGGCACAAGGCCCCCAAGATGTCCACACCTCGAGTCTGGACCCATCGATGCCCCTCATGTGAGGAGTCTCCTGATCCCAGCCAACCGCAAGGGGGCCCTGGTCCTCAGGGGCAGCGGCAGAGGCTGGGTGTCTGGGAAGGGGACACGGGGATGGGGACAGAGGACCCTGGGGACTCACGCGGGCAGGTCTGCAGTGAGGAAGGCAGGTCGCGCTGAACCCCATTCCTGGGGGTGCGACCTGTGCACCCTGGATGTGGCCCAAGGGGCCCCGCCCAATGCTGATCCCTGGCTCTGAGGGACATGTCTCGGGGTGCGAGCTGCCACTCTGTGGCTGTCTGTCCCCTCAGCCACAGGAATGGACACGTGCGTCGGGTGGCACAGCTCAGGGGACAGCCAGGCCCCTCATGCCCTGACCCGGGCCTCTCTCGTGTGGACAAAGAACCCACCTTGGTGACCACGAGACAGGCAGCCATGAGAGGAATCTGAGGCCTGGGGGAGGGCGGCTTGCTGGACCCAGGGGTCCCCAGCCCCTTGGTCACCTCCCCATCCATCACGCACGCAGCAGCACCCAGCCGTGCCCAGCGCCCGCTCCTTACCTGCCTGCCCCGGGGAGGGCACCACACTCACCTGTGACTGCAAGGTGGGTTAAGGAGCCGGGGAGCCCCAGAGGTCTGCACCCCAGCAGAGCCCCCAACCGCCCAGCAGGCCCGGGCACCGAGGACCTGGCCACCACCCGGGCCAGGCTGCTCCTGGCGTGCTTTCCAGAGAAGGATACGATCACCTGCCGATCCGAGGGCGACTTCTGCCTCAGTTTCTCCAGCCTTTCCAGCTGTTTGAGCTCATGGCTTTGGACCCGCTTGAACCTCTTGATTTCAGCCTGAGGAGAGCACAGCAGATGCCCATCGCCCGGGGTCCCCCTGGCCACCCCACCACCGCCTGCCTGGGCGCCCAGCTCACCCGGGTCTGCTTTATCTGGGTGCCATAGAGCTTCAGGGGACCGATGACCTTGGCCTCCAGCCTCTCCACCTTGGGCAGGAGGGACAGCACAGAGGTCAGAGCCGCAGGCCAGGGAAGGAAGGTGGCCTCTCTGCCACCACAGGGGTGTGGCTCAGTGGTGGGCGCTGCCTGGCACGTAGAGGCCCTGGGTTCCAGCCCCGCACACCCACAAGCGGGGCAATGAGCCCACACCAGGCCTCGTGGCAGGGCACGGGCTGCCCCGGCTGACAGTGCCTGGCAGTGTCCTCCTCCTCCGTGCCTCTGGGGACTGGTGCGGGCAGTTTGTCCCCTGGTCTCCACGCCAGGCTCCCCAACTGCCTCGGGGGTCCCAGCACTGGGAGGAAGGCGTGCAGAGGGGCGGTGCCAGCCACCCCACAGCTGGAGGAAGCACAGAGCAGGCCCAGCACAGTCTCCCAGGGCTTGAGACCCCGTCTCCTTCTGGTGGGTGCTGGGGGGCAGCTGGGCCGTGCAGAGTGGAGTGGACCTGGGGCAGCGTGGCAGGCTGCACATTTTCACCACCGAGGTGGGTCCCCATGACACCCCTAGTGTGCAATTCAGGGGGCCAGCAGCTCGGGGCTCTGCACGCCACCCGTGCCTGTGTCTGGGGTGGCAGCGACATTCCTGGCACCCCTGGATGGCTGCTGATGCCACCGGCTTGGCTGAGGGGGGCCCAGAGTCCCCGCCCAGGCCGTGGCCTCCCTCGGTTCTGTCCCTCTCTGTCCCTGGATGGTTCTAACCTTAAAGTTTACAGTGACGTCCGCCTGGCAGGCCCAGGGCCACCTCCCACCACAGCGCCAGGGGTGAGCACAGAGGGAGCTGCCCCCCAGGCCCTGTGCCGGCAGCAGACGCAGGCCAGGCGGGTCCTCTCGGTGGGGCCCAGTGGGTGTGGGGGACTCGCCGTGTGGGGACAGCAGGCCCGCCTCCCTCCATCCCTCTCTACCCTTTGGGGGAGCACAGAGACCACTGCGCTGCCCACCCATGTATTTCCTGTTTCTGAGGCCTCACTATAGTTGTCCAGGCTGAACTCAAACTTGGGACCCTCCTGCCTCAGCCTCCCAGGCTGCTGGGGTTCTGGACATCTGCCACCACACCGGTGCACAGGCCTCTTGGTGGGCGCAGTCAGCATCCGTCCCGAGGACGCCTGCAGGTCCACCGGGCAGCAGGACCTGGACTTTGTGCTGCTCCTGCCACCCCTGCCGCGTGGCCTGTGGCCCGTCTGCCTGCTGGGTTGCACCGTCAACCCTCCCTCCTCTCTGTACCTCAGGCTGGGTGGCTTCCGGTGTGTGCCCATCCCCCTGCTGCCCACCAGCCTCTTGCTGCCCGACCGCCCCGGGTTGCCGTCCCCGCCAGGCCCCGTGTCTCCTGGGACCCTTGGCCCCGGGTCTGACACTGGGCTCCGCCTCTGCCTGCCTCGGCGAAGCCCTGGCTCTCAGTCCCCAGAGCGGTGTGACGGGAAGGGGACGGAGTGTCCACCCCGAGGCTCACTTGGGCCTGCCTGTAGTCCTGCACTTTGGCCAGGTCCTCGGCGACCTCCCGCAGCGTGGCCCGCAAGTCGGGGGCCTCGGAGCCGGCGACCTCGATCAGCTGCTTGACCAGCCGGTCCCCCACGTCCCGAAGCCGGGCCGTCTTGCGTGTGTGGGCGGCCAGCAGTGAGCAGAGCTGCCCGAAGTGCTTCTCGGCACTGACCACCGTGGCCTCCATCGCCCTCACCTGGCCGTCCCTGAGGAGGTGGGGGTCTGAGTGGCCGGGAGGGAGGGGACACCCCCGGGGCGCGGGGTGGCCTGGGTCACACAGAGGGCGTCCAGGCGGCCTCTTCTCCCCCTGCTGCCCTCACGCCAGGAAAGCCTCCATCCTCAGGACCCGAAGCTTTCTAAAAAGCCGAGGTCCCGGGGGTGGGGACACTTTCCAGTGACCCGGGACGGGATTGGAGCTGCAGCTTCCCCTCGCTTGGTGCCCGGAGGGGCTGGTGTCCCCGCAGCCGGGGACCGTAGCCTGCGAGCACAGGTCACCTGGGCGTCCCACGTGCTGAGCTTGGGCACGGGGCCTGGTCCCAGGCCTTTGGGGACAGTCCCGGCCCTCGCGTCCCCCGGGCCCTGCCCTCCTCCCTGCCCTCCTCCCTGCCCTGCGGCCTGGGCCTTGGCTATGTGCCTCCCTCCTGTCCCCGTCACCTCCTGACATGGTAGTGCTGGACCCTTCCCTTCCCTGGACACGGGCAGGGCCGTGCTGCCCTGGAGCTGTTCTGTGCGCCGTGCACAGGACTCGGGCTCCCCCTCGGGCTCCCTGCAGCCCCCTCTCCCCCGGGGCCCCGGGTCCCCCCCTCTTCTACCTGAGGTCCAGTCCCAGCCCAAGCACTGGAGGCCAGGCTCCTTTGCCTCCCACAGGTCTCAAAGCGGGGGCTGCCTTTTTCCTGGGCCGGGGAGGGCCCTGTCCTGGCGCCCTCTGGGACACTGTGGTTGCATCCGGGCTGGGAGGACTCGCACTAAGCCCAGGGCCCCCTGCCAGGCAGGTGCAGTGGGCACAGCACAGAGGGGTGAAGCTGGCGGGTTGGGGATGAGGGGCTGTCCAGGGGGCCAACAAGGGCCCAAGAGGACCTGGCAACAGCAGCTCCCCTGGTGTGGGCCAGGGGCCTGGTGGTAAGAACCCGGGCCCCTGCCGTCCTCCCCTCCCTTCTTCCCGGGGTGTCACCGATCCCTGCCTCCTCCTCCCTCCCGGCCTGTGTGGCCACTCACCTGGAGAGGACGACGTTCATTGTGGCCCTGGTGGGTGGCCCTGGCCCTGGTCCTGGTCCTGGGGAATAAGGACAGGGCCCAGGGCGCCAGGCAGGGCTGGGCGCGGCTGCGTGCTCAGGGCTCAAGGGACGCTGCTGCTGGGTTGCCAGGCAACAAAGCCACCCCAGGCGGCCTGGGCAGAGCCCATCTGGTCTCCTGGCAACCCCTCCCCTGGGGCAGCCTGGTGGGGAGGGGACCCCGGGAAGAGGCTGCACAGAGAGGGAGTGGACAGGTCCCTGAGGCAACAGGGACCCCTTGTGTCCCTTTGCCGGGTTCCACAGGGCTCCTCTGCACCCCTCGGCCTGTGGGGGGCATGGTCCTTCCTTCCTGCCAGCCCCCGAGTCCAGCTGTCGGGGCTGTTCAGGCCGGGTGGGCAACAGGGTCCGGCTCTCCCAGTGGGTGGGGAGAGCCAGGGGCCCAGCTCGGAACGAAGCATCCCTGTGTCTGCTGTGGTCCTGGTGAGGACCAGGAGGCTGAGGCAGGGCCACACTAAGCTGGTGAGCTAGCGGGTCCCCCTGAGCGTGCATGTACACCCCAGACCTCCATGTGACCAAGGCCGGGCAGAGTCAGCGAGCCAGGAGCTCGCTCTGTAGCCCTCAGACGGGTGGCGGGGACCACGGCTGCGGCCACCGCGGTGGTGGCAGTGTAGGGGGCCGGCAGGGTCCGAGGGGGACTCTGCTCTGCTCTGCTCTGCTCAGCTCTGTTTCCTGTGGCTCTGGTCCCTCACACGGAGCTACAGCCCCAGCTCTGTTTAGTTCTTTTAATATTTGACCTTTTGTGTACAAACATAGCGATTTTAATCAGCTTAATATAATTTGTGCGGCAGCGAACTCGGGTGACAGCAGCGTTTGCTGCCACTGTCCCCACGTGCTGGGCAGCTCCACGGTGTGCCGGGGACGCTTCCTGCAGCTCACCTGCCGCAGTTGTCAGGTTTCTCTGGCTGTTTGCAGCTCACCCGCATCGCCGGGGCTGGGCGTGTAAATTCCTCCCACCCAGCGGCATCCCCGCCCTGGGTAAAAGTAGTTTTTAAAATTTGCTTCGGGACAGGGTCTCCCTAAGTGACCAGCTGGGCCTCCACTTGGGAGCCTCCTGCCTCAGCCTCCCAGAGAGCCCAGATTAGAGAGGAGAGCGCCAGTACGCCCGCCTCCCCACAGTGAGGAGGTCATTTTGCAATAGCAGACGCAGGACACCCACCTGGGGTGAGTGCCGGTCCCCCAGGTGACCGCACAGGACCCCACCTGACCCCCAAGCCCCAGCCGTCTCCAGTGGGTGTGGATGGCTGAGTACCGGGCCGTCTCCTGGGGACGCCTCCTCGCCGTGCCTCTGGGGAGCCCTGCGGTGCCCCCTGGGACCTGGTGCGCACCAGGCCCCGTTCTTGGGGACCTGATTCTTGGGGACCCGGTTCTTGGGGACACGGTGAAGCGGAGCAGCCTGCGCTGCCATCGAGGGCCACGCGAGGGCGGCAGAGACCCCAGAACGGCGCTGGGCCTCCTCGGTCCGCGCGATGCGGCCCCCTGGTGGCCAGAGCGGGGAGAGCGGCGGGGTGCTGGGCACTGCGGGCCAGGGCTGCTGACCTTGGGCACCCCCGCCCGGGCCCTGTGTGTGCCGCGGCTCGGGGCCGCTGTTATCTGTGCGCAGAATGGGGCCCCCGTACCCCGAGACCCGCAGCTGGGCAGTTTCTGGGTACCCCTGGGTGCTCCCCTGAGGGGGTCGGGGAGCCCCAACTGTCACCTGGGAAGCCCGCGCCCCTCTGTCGCTGAGGACACAGGCGGGAACCCTAAGGACTCGTTACACGCCCAGCTCCTCTCCCTGCTGTGTACGAGCTGTACACGGGACCTGGCGAGGCTGCCCGCACTGGCCTCCGCCTCTGGACCCTCCTGCCTCAGCCTTCTCAGTGCTGGGGTCTCTCCCAGGCTGCTCGGGGAGCCATTCACCAGGTTCCACAACTTGTGCGCATCGAGGGGATTCCTGCCTGTCTCTTACGAACTCTGTGTGCGTAATTCTTATTATTCCATCCGCCTCCTCTAAGAAAGGCTTCACGCAAAATGGAGGAATCCACACCCACTTCCAGACCAGATGCTTGTTGATGTCCACTACTGTCCCCCAGCTCCATTTTCATGGCTGTATACTATTTCCTTCCACTGTGTGTGCTTGGACATGGTCCACCACTGGTGACTGTTTGCCGAGCACCCACCGTGTACACGGGCACTCAGAGGCACTGAGGCTGCACCGGTGAACAGACCAGAAACCAGCTCCGTGTTTGCCGTGAGAAAGGTCTGGGACATTCAAGGGTCCAGGGTTCGATGTTCCTAAGGGCCACAGAGGCGTGGGCAGGCAGGGAGGATGTGGGGAGGACGGAAGAGGGTGCTGGGAAACACCGAGGAGGAGGAGGGGAAGGGGGAGGGGAGGAGGAGGAGGGGGAGGAGGAGATGGAAGAGGAGGAGATGGAGGAGGGGGAGGAGGACGGGCAGGCGCCGCCCACCGTCCCGCCCTCTGCTCTTCCGCTGACCTGTCTGGACCCCTGGGGACCCCGCAGCCAGGCGCCCTGGTTCCGGTCCCACTGTGCCATCCCTGCCCTGTGACCGGCGCTCAAACCTTAGTGTCCGCCGTGGAGCAGCCGTGGCCGCAGTGTAGGACGGTGAGGCCCTGCCCCACCGCATCCTGAGTGGCAGAGGATGGACAGACAGACAGACAGACTGCTGGCTGCAGAGCCCGTGGGTGGCCCTGGGGCAGGGCACTGTCAGGACGCTTACACACGCGTGTGAGCACAACAGCACCCTGAAGCACGCGTCCTTCATCCCTGTGAGCCTCCTGGTCACGAGTGTCCTCCGTATCAACCCCAGAGGACTCCAGACCGGGGAGACCCCCGGCCCCACCCCAGCCTCTGACTCTGAACAATCCTGCATCATTTCTGGGGCTGGGAATTCTGCCTGTGAGGGCTGCTGGGGCCCGGGGTGCAGGGCAGCCAGTGTCCCTCTGTCCATCCACTCCAGGCAGTGCAGGCCTTCGAAGCCGGCAGCTGCATCCCCATCTGCAGATCCTGGCCGAGGTGGCCCCAGCTCTGCTGAACACCAGTCAGAAGCGGCCGTGAGCTCGGGAACAGCCGCCTGCTCACCTCGGCTGAGGCCTCACCATCCGAGTGCTCTGCCCTTCAGGTCACCCCTCGCCCAGGTCAGCACTATGTGGCCTGTTAAGGATGGGACAGGCAGGAAGGGACAGGTACAGTTAGCCAGGTTGTTCACTGCATAAATGCACTGAGCGAATCCTTGCTTTACAGCAAGCCCAGGCTGCGCGCTGTACCCATGGTGCACCTCTTCGAGTCCCATACGGCCCTCGGTGGGAGTCATTATTCTCAAATGATGAAGGCAGAGCCTTGGGGTCCCCCAACTGACCCTTTCCCAGCTGCATTGGTGGGGCTGGGAGCTGGCGGGAACCAGAGTGTCCTGCAGAGCAGGCCCTGACTGACTCCAGAGCCCCCCACACCCAGGACCGGGGCTTGGCTGCTAGGAACACAGCGCTGGGCTGGGGACGGGGCCCTCGCTGGCTCAGTCAGCCTCCTAGGCTCGCCGTCCCTGCCTGTAAAATGGGCAGGTGCTGTCCTGGAGCCAAAGCAGGGGCCGGACTGGACACGCGCCAGAGTGTCTCAGCACATGCACTGGTCGGTGCTCAGTGTGGACACCTCGGCCTGGGAGGTCCGACCCAGCCACGGCCTCGGAGGGCTCAGTCCACGCCTGCTGCCCCGGCAGGAGCACCATGGCGGCAGGGTCTGGCGGAGGTCCGGAAGCATCAGGATGGGGAAGCCACAGGCAAGGGCAGGGACAGTGTGTGTCCCCCAAAACCATGCCCAGTCCCCCCTTATCCGGTTAAGCCGCTCCCAGGAGCAGGTCCCCCGATGAGTCCGTGGACGGGCGGATTCATCAAACGCAGCTGGACCCAACCACTTTCCCAGCCAGAAACACACGAGGCTTCGGGGACCCAGAATTCAAACTGACAGCACCTGCGCTCAGCAGCGGTTGGAATCAGGTCCGAATCGTGCACTGGACGCTGCCCGTGAGGACACAGGCTTGGTGCCCACTCAGCTGTTCCCTGCCCCGTGCCCGTGCCACCCTGGCACTCGTGGTCCTGCAGGAGCTCTTCAGAGGAGTTGCCGCCCAGGGCCCCTCCTGGAATGGGCCAGACCCAGCACCCGGGTCGGGTCAGGGCCTCGTGGGTGGTCGCGACCTGGGAACAGGGCCCAGCGCAGGGGCCTGGCCTCTCCTGTTCCTGCCCGCTGGCGCCGGGCCGTCCCCACCTGGCCCTGTCCATCTGGCTGCCCCCTCCTCGCACCACTCACAGGAGCAGCACAGGCAGGCGGGGCGGGGGAGCAAGAGGACAGTGCCGGGACCCAACTGGACCCTGTGGCGGAACCGGGGACCCTTCCGGCCACCCTCCCTGCTCCCCTGGTTTGTGGGGGCCGCGAGGGAAACTGGGCCAGGGGACAGAGGCCCTAAGTGACAATCACGTGGTTCCCTCTTGCCGGCCGACAGGTCCTGTTGGGCAGGTCACTCACTCTGCGGGGAGCCTGGCTCTGGCTAAGGAGCCCTGTGCTCCGGGCTGGGGTCCCCTCTGTGCGTCCTCCTCATTCACACGGGGCACTGCCTCGGCTGGGCCCGGCTTCTCTGGTTTCACCCCTAATCCCCCCAGCCAAAGCTTGTGGAGTGTGACCCTCGATCCAGGACGCTCCGTGGCTCCCCTAGAGCCCGGAGGATGGTGGCCCTGACTGTGCCCCATGAGCCACCCTGGTCCCCACTGCGAGACAGGCTTCACCCCGAAGACGGCGGCAGTGCAGGGACCCCGTGAAGGCACATGCAGGGCTGGAGGCCCGGGGTTCCCCTCAGCACCATGGGAAAACCGTAGCAGGGTGCTCACGTTCACGCTCAGGCTCACGCTCACGCACGCAGGTTAACACTCCAGGGCCGGCTCCTTCCTCCTGCGTGCAGGAGGCGCCCAAGCACTGGGCATCCGAGTCCTGGGGCACAGGCAGCCTGCCCCCTCCGGAGGTCTTGGTCAAGGGTGCGGGCACCGTGCGCCGTGTCATGTGCCCAGCCCCGCCCTGCGAGTTGGGTGCACGGCGTCCTCACCCGCCCCCAGGGGAGCGCACCCCACAAGGCACCAGGCTCCGCTCTGCTGCGCCCCACGTGGCCCCGCCGCAGGGCCAGACTCGCTTCTGCCCGCACCGTGTGCCCGGCACGCACAGTCGGGGCGCAGGAGCTGTGCTTTCCCCACCCGGCTCCGGGGCGTTGCAGAGGACCCGGCCCCCTCGGGGACCCCATGGCGCAGCCTCCCTCCCGTGCTCGCTCTGGGGCCCCGGATTCCCGGGAAGGAAGAAGACGCCGCCCAGACCTGACGTCAGCGCCAGCAGCCCTAATTGGTCCTGGAGCCTCATAATTCTGGGCGTCGGGACGCGCGTCTGGGAACCTCGAGGCCAAGGTGCAGGCTCGACCTGAAGCCGGGCTTTGTCCCCCGCTGGCTCCGGCCCAGCCCTGCCGGGCTTGTCACCGCTGGGGGGCAGAGGCGGATGCTGGCTTGCGCCTGCCAGGGCTACAGAGCTCCCCGCGGAGGCCCCACAGGACCTTCCCGCCCTTGGTCCCCGGCCACGGGCCGTCCTGCTCCTGTCTCCCTGCAGCTGCCTCTGGGAGGAGAGGCCAGCTGGGCCGCGGGTCTGCTGAGGCCTGGGCTCGGGGGACAGGGACAGGAGAGGAGAGGCCCCCACAGCCTCAGCGGGAGAGACCCTGCCAAGAGGGCCGGGCTGCGGCCGCCTGGGCTAGAACATTCCGCCATGTGCAAGCCAAGAAACTCCCAGAGAAACACGGGAGCGTCCAGCCCGTGAGGAGGAAGAGGATTTCCTCTCCGGGCAGCTCCTGTGGCTGTGGGCCTTCAGTGACGGCCTCGCTGGCAGCCAGGACGGGGAGGGGGGGCAGGAAATGGGGTCCAGGCGCCAGGCAGCACCAAATACGGACAGACTCAAGGGCGAGACTCGGGCCAGGCCAGAGCAATGCTCGGAAATGACGAGCACGACCCAGGGAGAGGCCCTGCTGCTTTGGGTTGGGTAAACTGAGGCACTGGTGGTCAGTCCCACTCGTAGAGCTGCAGGTCATGGGATGATAAGTGGGGTAAGGCCCGCCCAGCACTTCCCGGGTGTCGCAGAGTCCAGCGGGGCACCGAGAGGCGACTGCACCCCCCAGAGCACAGCAAGCCACACTGCTGTCCACTCTGGGGAGAAAGACTTCAGGGGTCAGAGCGGCAGGTCGCAGGGTAGCAGTCCCCCCCCCCCCCGCTGACTTTGAGCCACCATAGGCCAGGAGCTCAGTGGTCAGCGCCTTCCTGGTGTGCGTGAGGCCCCAGGTTCTGTCCTCAGCACCGCACACGACCAGTGTGCAAACAACCTGTGGTCCAAGTCACCAAGGCGAGAGCCAAGCACACACGCGGGAAAGCCTTCCACAGTGGGCACAGCCGGTCCTTGTGCAGTGCACAACCTGAATAACGGGACGTAAAATCCTGATGAGTAACTGAGTTTGAATTGGGGCACTGCTGCTGTACAGCCTGGGTACCAGTTCCTGACTCAGCCCTACCCAGTGACCAAGGGCACGGAGGGGGTGAGGGACAGGAAGGAAGGGGCCTTCCTGGGCTTGGAACATTGACAGAGCACAGGGACGGCCAGGTCCCAGGGATGTAGGAGCTGGAGGAGGGAGAGGCTCAGGTGTGTGTGTGTGTGTGTGTGTGTGTGTGTGTGTGTGTGTCTGCATGCACCCCTGTGCCCTCTGTGCAGGGCAGGGCTGGCCCTGGCTGGTGATAGCCCTGTGACTGGGACAGATGCAGCCAGCTGGGCACCCTCCGGCCCTGCTCATGGGGGAGCAGCGGCTGCTGCTCATCAGAGGGGGTGGCAGCACCTGAGGGTCCGCAGCACTCCCTGGGCACCGTCTGCATCCCGGGGCTTGGGGGTGGCAGGGGAGAGGAGGTGGGGGCCCCGCTTTGGCCACCCCAGGCCCAGCGAGGGCCCCAGGCTGTGAGGGCCTCTTCCTGGGTCCCTTCTCCTTTCCAGTGGGGAGACTGGGCTGGAGGGGAGGGGACAGAGGAGCAGGCAGGAAGGGCTGGGCACCGTCTGGGGGCCTCAGTGACCCGGTTCCTCCCCAGGGACCCTTGGGAATTCTCAGCTTCCAGTGGCTTCTGGACTCCTGCCCCACGGGCACCCCACGGGAAGGAAGCCACATCCACGGCCTCCCCTCCCTGTGTGGCCCCCAACTCAGGGCCCTCGGCTGCTGAGGGGCACAGCCCCGAGTTGCACAGGACACCTGCTCAGGGTCCCAAAGGGCGTCCCGGGATCTGGGGCCCTGGCCTTCTGCCCGCCTGCTGCCTGCCCAGGGCGGGACCCACCTGGCCGCTCCTTCCTTCCTGTGGCGGCTTGAGGGGGTTCCGGCCACACCTTTCCTATGGCCCCCACACTTCCCAGCCCCCTCCCTGCCCGCCGAGGCTCCAGGGCTGCCCACCCCTTCCGGCCGCTCCTTCAGGCACAGGGCAGGAGCTGGCTTGGCAGTCCTGGCAGCAAGTGTCAGAGACGGGGGACCCGAGGCCCCAAAGGTCAGGATCATACACCCATGTCCTTGTGGGCACAAGTGTAAAACCTGAGTCTAGGGGGTTCCATCCGGAACAGGACGTCTAACCACTGCGCCATCCTGCTTGCTGCAGACACTGCGGGCCCCAGGGCTTGGTGGGCTTCCTCCCCCCCAGCTTCCTCCATATCCCGGCCTGTGGTGGGGCTGACGGCATCCCTGGCAGCTGCTGGCACAGGGGACAGATGTCTCCTGGAGTGCAGACAAGGCAGAGGGTCGAATGTGCATCTGTGCGCCTGCATGCGTGTCCTCAGCCTGCCAAGAGCTAGGTGGGCGCCGTGCAGGGTGGCGATGCAGGTGGGACACTCAGGGCAGACCCTGAGCCGTGGGGACGGTGCCCTGACCTCATCGCAGGCCTTGGTTTCTCATTTGCAAGGTGAAGAACACAGAGTGTCCACCCTCGGGGCTCCCCTGAAGAGAGGGGGACCCAAAGCAAATGCTGCTCAGCACCGAGGACAACACGGGGCGACTGAGGCCACGGGAGGGTCTAGGATAAGCGTCCTCCGGGTTCCCCCGGCCCTGGCCTCAGCTGGGCCCTCGTCCACCCCAGCTGGCCAGCGGCCACGCCCTCCGGGGCCTCTGCAGAGCCTCACAGCCACCATCCCTCCCCCCACTGCTCTGCTGGCCTGGCCGGGCTGACCGGCCCTGGCCTCCCTGCACCCCCAGGGGGCACAGCCTCTCCTCCCCTTGTGCCAGCTGCTTGTTCCCCTTCAGCTGCCCTGATTTCACGGTGCTCAAATGTTCAAGGTCGCGGGGTCGGCTGCCAGGGGCTTCTCCTCCCGCTTCCCAGCAGCTGGGTCCACCCGGAGCCCTCGGCCCCACACTGGCCAGCGGCTTGCTGGTCTTCTCCTGTGATGAGCTCACACAGTGCCACCGTTGCTGGGTGAGCTCAGAGGAGTGCCAGGCTGCCTTGGGACCCCCCACCTAGGGGACCACTTCCCAGTGTTCCTCTCAAGGCCTGAAGAGCAGGAGGGATGCTCGCCCTCCCCACCTAGAAGGATCCCAGGGAAGCACTGGGATTGGCCTGCTGAAGTCACATGCCCCTCTCTGCACCAATCACAGTGGCCAGGAGAGTGGAAAACTGGGATTGGCTGGGTCTGGGTCACTTGTTTTTCTGTTGCCAAGAGGTAAAGACAAACTCCTGAGATTGGCATCTGCTTCCAGGACCTCAGGGAAGGGACAGGGCAGAGGTCCTTTCCCGAGACAGGGAGGGGCGCAACCTGGTCAGATGCACGGCAGTGCCAATCCCAGGGAGAGGGTGGGCAGGGTGGGGCATCCCCTTCTGAGGGCACTGTGAACCCGCACGCATCCGGGCAGCTGTGACCCCCAGTGCAGGCCTTCGGGAGCCTCTGCCAGGCCGTGCGGTGCCCGGCCTCTCCCTGCCCCTGGAGTGCACATTGCAAACATCTGGTGCTGGCCTGCACTGGGGGTCCCTCCTGGGGTTCCCTGCCGCTGACAGGAACCAGCGCGCGGTTTTATTACCCACAGAGCACATCTGGGAACATTCTGGGCCAGCCCCGGAGCCCACGCCCGCCGTGAGGTGGCAGCAGCCCAGGAAGGCGCCCTCCTCCCCCCACCCCTCCTCCCGTCCCCCTCCAGGCCGCCATGTGACCGCACTTCTGCAAGGCAGCACAGCATCGACCCAGCCCTGGGAGCAGCTGGGCCAGCAGGGAGGTAGGCCCTGCCCCACTGCCAGGAGCCGAGCAAGTGCGGTGGCTTCGGAACAGGGACCTCGGGGAGCTGCAGGCCTGATGCCACGCTCACCCTCACCCCACACCTGCCTCCCCTGGTCCCTCTCCTTTCTGTCTTCCTGTGGTCCTTCTCTTTCCGCCACAGCCGAGGAGGAGGAGGAGGAGGAGGAGGAGGAGGAGGAGCAGGAGAAAGAGGAGGAGGAGGAGGGGGAGGAGGAGGAACAGGAGGAGGAGGAGGGGGAGGAGGGGCAGGAGGAGGAGGAGGGGGAAGAAGAGGAGGGCCCCACCCGAGCCTGGGCCAACGACGGGGTTGGGAAAAGCCCTCTGTCCATTTCTGCAGGTGCTGTCCTCCAGAGAGAGCAGCCCTGGCATCTGGACGTGGCCTGGAGCTGCCCTGGGGTGGACAGGGTGGGCCGGGCTTCCTGAAGGGAGCTCTAGAGCGGGGTGGCCGCTTGGGGTGCCAACCCGTCTGTCCATGCACCCGGGGCTGCAGTCCCCACCAATGCCACCGCCTCTGCAGCCTGTTTATTTTGTTTAAAGCATCAATTCTTGGTTCTGCTTGTGGATAGACTTGAACCCAGACCCTGCACCCTGCGCTCCATCCCCAGCCCTTTTCCTGTGTCATTTCTAGAGTCTCCTAAGTTGTCCGGGCTCTAAACTGTGATCGTCTGGTCTCAGCTCTTTTGCCAACGAGCAGCCTTGGCAGGGTGGACGGGCCGAGACCCTGGGCTGGCGAGGCCCTGGGTGCCCTAGCAGAGTCTGCGGGATGAAGGGCCCGGAGAGGTAGAGAGCAGGGCCTGGCCGCCGGGCCCCGGCTGTTGTGAGGACTCTGGGCGTTAGGGGAAGAGCCAGGAGGCGGGCGATCCCTGGGCTGACTCCGGCCTCCGCAGGCCCCTGCAGGGTGGGAGCGGTGCAGGGGAGGCTGGGCAGGAGCAGCAGCCAGGTGTCACCACTTAAACTGGAGGTGACAGTGCTGGGTGGGCAAAGGGACGGGCCTGGGGGCCGGAGGGTCCCGGGTTCAAATCTCCACCTCCTTACTTTGGGCCTCTGAGCTTGGGCGAGCGCTGGGCTCTGGGCCTCAGTTTCCCCACCTCTGGACTGGGAGGAGTATGTCAGCCACCAGGCTCAGGGTGGTGCAGTGGCTGGTGATGACGGTCAGGAATAAGAGGGGCCCTTCGGCCCCGGGTCCCCACAAAG